AAACCCCCCTTATGAGCCCGTGAGGCTTCGCTAGGCCCGTCGGGGAACGTAGAGGTTTGCATAGTCAAGAAGGCTATCCAGATTAGGGCTTAGGGTTTTAAGGTTTTCCTCTAGTAGATCTCCATGTAGTTACAACAGCAGATATTACCTGAAAGCCTTATTCTAGCTCTTTCTCCTTTATTCTAGCGGATCTGAGGCCTTTATCCTTTGAACTTTTAACCCTCAGCCTTTATCAGATGTCGCCAACACATTAGGACCCTTACGCCCTTAGCATCTAGGGTTTAGGGTCGGTGAGGGGCCTCCAGGCCCCCTGAAGGACCAATAAGAAACGGGTTCTTTCGAAATCCACGTCAACATTCCAGGTAAGCTTGAGTTCACGGGCTTCCACGGTGCAGCACTAAGGCTGCACCCCTTCTTTTTGAAGAAGCCGTGGGAGTAAAGGCCCATTTTGTTCATGTGAATTTGAAGTGAAGTTTACAGCATAGCCCCATACATGACCCCTCAAGCAAGCCTCCCCGAACCTGCCTGGCAATCCCTATGTGCCCCTGGATCCTTGCGGGAAACCTAAAGTGTTTCGGTGGTAAGGTTTACAAAGATTGTGGTTTACAGCCGCACAGACGATGCCCAAAGTCCTGCGAAAACCCAGAATAATTAGAACCCAATCAAGGTAAGAAGACATTGCCAGCTGTTGATAGTTCTTCTCACTGTTATGGGCTGCAATCACATTAGGTACGGCAATCAAACCCTGAACTAAACCTTAGACTCTAGACCGCAAACCCTAAACCGAGTTCTCACCTGGCTCTACACCAGGATGCGTGATGGCTGAAATGGCCATGGGACAGGCTTTGTTCATGGGCGATTCGGACACTCCACTGCTTATCTAGGGTTGAGGGTTTAGCATGTAGGGCTTCAGGTTCAGGGCTCAAGGTTCAAGGCTTTGCATGGTTGAGCAATATATCCCCTATAGAACCCACCACGCACTTTGGGACGAAAGCCTGGGTTGAAGAAGCACTTCAGGACGAAGGACTTCAGGTAAAGCTTAAGCCCTAAGCAGTTGCGTGGTTTAGGGTTTAGGGTTCGGTGACTAGAGATGTCGGGGCCAATTCAGGATCAGTTGGCAGGGTATTACGGCTTTGTAAGAGCCCGTGAGAGGCTGTTCGTGTTTCTGTCATTTTGGGGATTGTCACGCGGAAGGGTTACCCCAAAGCTTAAACCCAAAATCCTACCATAGTTGACAGTTCAGGTTCCCTGTGCCCTACATACCTGGACCCCGAACCCTAAATCCTAAACCCTATGTCCCAAACCCCAAACCCGAAACCCGACTCTATTGCTCAAGGCTCAGGGAGTTAGGGTTCAAGGCTCAGGCTTGGGGATTTAGGCTGCATCCGAGTTACCCCTACAAAGAGACCAGAAAGTCTCCCGCGACCCCTGACTTTAAAGAGGATTCACATGGTAGTTGCCCAAATGTATACCCTAAGATACTACAATCCTTGTTATGCAGACCTCCAAAAGGGACTCCAGAAATTTGGGAAAACCTCACAAGTCAAGAAGCCACGAGTGGAGTGGCAGCACTTGATGCCATAACACATACTTGGAGGGTCAGGGGGGCTAAGTATAAAAAATTAATATTGGGGATAACTAAGGCTACTATGCGGATTATAGGCATTAGTATACTTATAAAGCCTCCCTGACGCTCCGAGTAATCTACAACGAGGGGCTTTTGAGGTTGCATGTGGCCATCCATTTCCAACAATGAGGGGGGTCACTTGTCTACAACTGAAGCTGATTCATCACGAAAGAAAGGCCCTGGAGTTTTTGCACCCATAGTACTTGACTTTAGCATGTGTCTGGAAGCAGCATCACACACTTAGTTGTCGCTTCTGGTGGAGAGCCATCCACAACAACTCTTGACGTGCCTGAGCCCTAATTCCTGCAGAAAATGGACGTGGAGCTTTTTTTGGCACGCAACAGAGTACACAGCCAAGTTATGGGTAAACCCAAGCAATGTTGAGAGGAGATGGATAGGATCCAAGGTTGGGGAAGCCAGAGTGATGTTATGTGGAGGTGGACATGGTGTAGGTTTAGGGTTGGGGGTTAGGGTCACGGGTTAACCCCGTTGATGTTAGCAGCAGACTTATGCAGTCGTGGTTAGGGCCAGCAACAGTGATTTTAGCAGGAGACTGTTACAAGCCAAGTTAGGGTACGTCATGGTATTAGTAAACTCCTGCAATCCTAGTTTGGATGAACCCAGTGACGTCGTTGTGAAACACAGCCCTAAGATTACATGTATCTCAGTACACAAGCATAGTTCCTCATTAGGCATGCGCCAAGAAACTCTCAATGTTATGAGGAGATTGATACCCTCTTCAAGATCTTTCGTGTTCTCGGCACGCCAACGGAAGAGGCAGGTTCGAGGGGCTTACGATTTACATCACCAGGGTTTAGGGACAGATTGGGATGATGTGGATGCGCGGTGCTTGAGCCCCGCTTCCTCCTTAAACACCTAAACCCCAAACCCTAAACCCTTGCTTTACGCTTAGGGTTTAGGGTTTCAAAATTTACGGCTCCCAGGTTTTCCAACACCGAAAGGGCCATATACGCGATGTCTTTAGACTTCGAAAACGTGGGGTGTAAGATTTAGGCTTCAGGGTTTAGGGCTTAGGGTTTGGTTTAGGGTTTCGGGTTTAGGGTTCAGGGGTTTCTGAGTGGTGCTGCTTAGTCAGCCATTGTTTGGGTCATGCGATTCTTAGCTCTATCAACTTCCAGCCAGCAAAACGCCCACGTATCCACGGGTCTCCATGTGACATAATGTTGCCCAGTTAAACCCTAATCCCAGTATAGGGTTAAGGGTTCGGAGAGTTTAGGGTTTAGAGAGTTTAGGGTTAAGAGTAGTCAGGGTTTAGGGTGTAGGGTTTAGGGAATTTAAGATTTAGGGTTTAGAGAGTTTGGGGTTTAGAACGTTTAGGGTTTAGGGTTTGGGGTGGTATAGTACAATTTGTAACCCCTACATTTTTGTCTAGTACAAGTTTGCAGCCCCAACTCAAAATCGTATAACCCCTAAAACAATCCTTAACCCCTACAAGCAGCATAAACCCTAAACCAATCTCTTAAACCCTGTAAACCGTTAACCCCTACAAGCAGCATAAACCCTAAACCAATCTCCTAAACCCTGTAAACCGTATAAAGCCCAGACCAAGCTTAAACCCTATGAATCGTGAAAGCCCTCAACCAATCGCTTAAACCCTATAAAACCGTATAAACCCTAAACCAATCTTTCAAGCCTATAACTCGTATAAACCCTAAACAATCTCTCAAACCTTATAACTTGTATAAAGCCTAAACCAATCTTAAACCCTACAGGCCGTATAAACCCTAAACCAATCTCTTAAACCCTAGAACTCGTATAAACCCCTAGACCAATCTCTTAAACCCTGTAACTCGTATAAGTCCTAGAGTCCTAGAACTCATACCCTAAACTCTAAAATCCTAAAAACCCCAAACCAATCTCCGAAAGCCTCTCGTGGGAGGTGTGGCCTGGCGTCATGCGCCTGGCAAACTTCAAGGTAGGTCGGTCCGGTTGGTCTCTTCAGGTTTTAGGGTTTAATAAGTAGGTTAGGGTTTAGGGGTTTAGTGTTTAGGTATTGGGGTAATGGAAAAGAAATGGGGACCCTAGATCCCTTTAAAGGGATGATTATATAGGGTTGTATTTGGTTATGTATTGGGGTATTAACAGGGATGATAGAAAATCAAAATGGAAAGTACTGAAACTGCTATTTAGGGTGTAGGGTTTTAGGGTTTAGAATTCAAGTCAAACAAACATGGAACCTGAGAAAGCTCACCTTTTTCAAGGATGGTGCCCTTTTTGAGGTGCCATGCTGTTTGGGAGGGGGTGGGGTTTGAGTTTATTTCAGGGTATTGAGTCTAGAGTTTAGGGTCTACCCCCTACTGGGGGCATGAGATCATGCCTGCAGTGAGCTCCGTCAGGCACCCAGCAAGTCCAGTTTTAAAAAGTCTTCACTGGTGGCCCCTAAACCTTTTTTTTTTGAGGGGGGGGGAGGGCTCTCGAAGATCATTGTCAACGTCAGGGATCCTTTCTGCCTTCACGGGTATAGGATACAATTACACGGTTAAGGTTTAGGGTTTCCTCAGGTAATCCGGACTAAATGATGGCTCGTGATCAAAGGAGGCATCCTCCCTTGTGGCATTGGTTACTCCCACGGATCTTCAGACCCTCCAGCATTCATCTAAAGTATGGCCCCTCCACCTCGTCTGGATAGTCTCCATGGTACACGGCGCGACTGAATGTTTGAGAGGGCGTTAATGAGGTGATGTGGTGACATTCTCTACCTAACCTGCAAGACGCACATTACGCTTGCTCTATTGCGCAGGATGCTTTCCCAAAGTGGCGCGGCAATGACTTCGACGAGGTTCGCGCACACACCGCAGCGTCGCGGCCTGTCAGCAAGAAGCGTGGAAGTCTGAGCATCAAGAGCCAGTTCTCCTACCAGCACCATCGCATACACCATCACCGTAAGTGCCATCATGATGGCCTGTATCATGTTGAGGTGGGATTGCCCTCAAACTATAGCCACCTGGTGTTGCCACTACCATCATTCATAGCTAGCAATAATATGAACAGTACCAGGACGTGGCTCCTGTACAACACTGGTTGTTTTATGTAAATCGCGTTTTTGGCTCAGCAGGTGGACCGGGGAAGGGAGGAAGATGAAAGAGGCAGAACTCCCTGCGTAACAATGTTCTCCAGAAACCGGGCAATATGCAACGGTGTGCAGTTGATTAGATTCAGGCGGAACTGATCCGGCATGCAACTGCGGTAAACTTATTGTATCCCAATCACTTCGACAGACATTGGACAGCCCAAAGTCATTTGATGCGTCCCAGACTGGCATGGCCGTACGATAGCAGCCCCTCAAGGCTCCTCATAAACTTGCCCATGCAGTCCATTTCCCAGGCATAATTTGGAAGAACAGTTAGTTGGCATGCCAGCCTTGACGTCTAGCCATGGCTGTGGGTGCGGCAACTCGCATCCGACTGAACCGGTGAAGCAAGAGCTCTCTGGTGCAGCGCTGCCTGCCAAGACAGAGCTGGCAGTGAATGCCCTGCAAGTCGTGCAGGAAGCAAATGAGCGAGTGGAACATGCCCAACAGGCTTTGAGGGCTGCGGCACTCCGCCATCCGAAGGGTACGTTTCAGTTGAGAATGCAGGCTCACGCCATGGCCCTTGAAGCACAGCGCGCAGCCAATACCCACTTGCAGGAGTGCCTCGCACTGGAGGAGGCAGAGGAAGATGCGGTGCGCGGAAGCCACTGTGTGCCCACCGTAAAGCAGGAGCCACAATGGGAGAGTGACTCAGATGACTCCCTTGGTTCCCTTGTCCCAGATGTTCCGGACTGGAAGCTGAAGCCTTCCCCAGATCACTTCATACCCGCGCCGCGCACAAGTTGTAAGGCAGAGCCATTAGTCCCCTGCGGGCCAGCTCCAGATGCAGTATCGGTACGTAGGAAGCCATGTAAAAATGAGTTCACCCTGCAGCGCGAGGCCTCCAAGACCGAGCGATTGGCATCATGTAGGAACACTCCACCTGCACGCAGAGCATTGGAAAATTGTCCCACGCTGCCACTGCGCAGAACTTGCAAGATTGAGCCGACAACGTCACCAAGGGCACGCTCGACGATTTCTGGAAGGCTGAGCTATTTCTCGCCGCCGGTGGTCAGACCTTCTTGCAAGTCAGAGCCTTCAACAATGCTGGGTCGGCAGTGCAAGGTGGAGCCGTCAGCAGCTTGGAGCACAGCCTCAGCTGCAGCAATGGTGCCGGCTGAGGAAGATGAAGATGTTGCGAGACCTAGTAAGTACAGGAGGTTTCATTGCGGGAACGGGTGCGCGCCACGACAGCTTGAGATCTTGCGCAAAACACAAACGTTCTGCGACTGGGATCCCGCCCGATATCCCCCCGAGCGCGTGATGAGCAAATGGGGACACTTGCTGCAGTTTCTTCCGCCAGAGGACTTTTGATGCTACAATAGCGGAAAGTGTTGTGGGGAACTGGTGGCTTGACTAGGTTAACGTGCAGCGATTTGTATACTTATGTGTTTTGCCTCAAGTCCCTGCCAAGGACCTTTGCTTCTGCCATGGCCAGATTTCAAGGCAGTTCCGGAGCCCTCCGCACTGTGGGCAGCCATTGAACACATTGCTCGAGGACCTGCTTTCGGAGAAGGTCTTCCCATTGGACGTAACACCATTGGTGGCCGTCGAAGACGAAAACAAGATCTGGGACACTCTTCTGCGTTGAGGAAATTTCAAGTCTGTTTTGATTGTAAGTTGTAGAAGAAGGCAATATTGGTTTGGAATCTGTAAATCAACAGCGCAACAACGGCAATCTTGCTCTGTGGTGGGAACCACGCATTCAAGGTTGTCTGTGGCAATCGCCGCCTCTTTGTGCTACGGCAATACTCCCAACAGGTGCGTGATGCCAATGGACAAATAGACGTCCCGGTCTATGTTCACAAGAAAACCTCGTCAAACCCGCTGCCGTCCTCTTTGTTCGCGAAGTATGTTGAGGCATCCTCGACCAGGAAGGACGGGGGATGGCCTTCATTCTTTCCAAAACAGGGGGCATGGGGTTGCAAGAAGCAAGATCGCGACAATTCCTGATGCAGTTAGAAGTTGAACTGCCAGATTTTGCATGCCAAATGGCTTGCTTGACATGACAGAACCGTGCCACGCATGAGTTGTTTGGTTCCCAGGTGCGTAGAGTTCGATTTGGAGCCTTCAGGGCAAGCCACTGCTTCCGCACGTTGTGCTTTGAAATGATTTAGCCAGCCGAAATCTCACGACCCCAACCATGAAGGGGCCCGAAAGTTAATCACTCACCTCAAAGATCCAATTGACCCTATTTTGCTTGATCAGCCCAGAGCCAGCTCAAAGGACACGCTGCGCGGGTATACACTTCTCCCAAAGCTTTACACCTGAAGTTTTGCTCAAACGTTTCTTCTTGGCATTCAAGTTTCCTATTTGACTCTCATTTTAGGAGCCATCTTCAGTAGCAAAATGGGGAGTGTAGATAACGTTGCTAACCTCTACTACGCAGTCCATCCACAGTAGATAGGACGTATAGCACACGCAGTGAATGCTTGCAGAAACTTTTAAACTTTGTATACACCATGGATGGTCCCGACGAACTTGTAGCCCGACCGCAACACCTGGAGAAGGGTTGTTTTCAAACATGGGTCGCTTCTTGCATTTCGTGCTCAGATAAAGCCACACAAGCGCGGAACCTGAAAGGTATTCTAAATGAGCCTTTCCCTTGCTCCCAACTTGAAATTATTATATATATCCTTTTTCAGACGGTCACAGCAAGGTTTGTTGATGACAGTGGGTTGGAGTTGCTGCGAGAGTGCCTTCGCTATCCCCCTGGTGAGACTTGGCATGTTGTAGTAACTAGGATAGGGCTTCATTGTTTAGATCGGGTAAAGGTTCAAGGTATGATGATTGTGCAGCTGCCAGGTTTTGGAACCACAGGATTTTTCGGGCAGTATGTAGATCTCCTCCCACAGTTCAACATGGCTCAGCCATTTACAGTTGTGGAAGACCCAGTAGGACAGATCATACTCCAAACCGGTCCTCCCGGGATATATGTGAGCTCCTCCAAGCTTGGTAACAAGAAGGTTTAAGGAATGTTGAGGTCTCGTGAGCATGTGCTCGTACCGGGCCTATTAGCAATGAACGGCAGGAAACCCTTCGCCAGAAGTTTGTGTGAAAACTGTGGCATCTGCTCTCTCTGGCGTTGGTTTATTACGTACCTTGGGATATAGTTATTGCAATATTGCAGGGGTTTGGCTTTTAGTTACCCTTCCGAAAGTAGCGTCGCGGAAGGCTTCAAGATGAGAGGCAAGTTTGTGGCGAGGTTTCGCGATGAGAGGCTTCCGGCACATTTTTTCCGACAATTTTTCGTCGCAAAAGATTGGGATGAATGAGATCCATCACATGTGGTGCTTCAAACGCTCAAGTCCAATTTCACATGTTTTGGCATGTGAAGTTACTGCGCTGCGGCTGGGGCTCTGGTTGCCTCAGGGTCAATCGCAGTGGCATTTGAAACATCAGAGCTCAGATTGGTTCGTCTTTGATTTTCTGACCCATTCTTCAGGACGTCCACATGTCTCCCCGGTAGAGCATGTGGCAAAATCCAAAAAAGGACTGAGGCCCTGATGCTTTTCGGGACATCTTCCGCCTCAGCCTTCCGCCTCAAATTTCACCATCAGATCCTCAATGGGCAGGACCCATCTGAAGCCAAAGGTAACGCACGCCGTGAAATCGCAGCTGAGGAACGGCCATCAGCAAGGCGCTCGCTGACACATAGATACCTGCTAAGGGTTTAGGGCTAGGGCGGCTAGGGCTGACGGAGGTTTGCATCTTGACCCGTGGGATTTGCGGGTGCGCAGACTAGAGTAAGGTCTTTGTTAGACAGAAAGTATGGAACTTTTGGTAAAGGTTTTGTATAGAAATTTCGGCGTAAGTGGCAGTGGCCAGTTCCGCGATAAGTCGCTGGACAATCATTTGGGACGGCTTTGGTAACATTGGTGACTTGATGTGCCTGCGAGTTCATGGGCAAAGACGCCCATGCGCAAATCCTTCTTAGAATTTCACTTAGATGGTGCTAGAGCGCGAGCTGGCACCAGCCCAGCGTTGAGTCATTTAATTGACACACAAACTGAAACCGAAAGTTGTTTAGAGCCTTAGCTTTCTGGCCACGCACCAAACCCTGAACCCTAAACTCCCTGACCGAGCCACGCAAGCGGCAAAACTCCCTGACCGAGCGGCGTTCGAACGTTGCTATGCCGCCGAGCCATGCACGTGGCAAAGCCTCTAAACGAAACTCTAAACTCTAAACTCTCAATCCTGGCCGGAAAGCTTTGGAAGTAGGTGGAGGTCAGGAATCTTGCGTTCTGGAAGGGACCATGGGAAGTTCCCTTCCTGCGGGTGCGCCTGCAGCCGCTGATGCTGGTATTCGCCATCTGGGATGCTGTTAGGGTAAAAGGTCGCGACCCGAAACGGGACCATACTTTAGACAGCCCATTATATGAAGTTCCCTTAAGCCCACAACCTTTATGTTTACGTATAACGTTCCATGTTTTTCCTGTGGTTTCTAGCTTACAACGTTGTTTACCCATGCATATCCCTATATCCCCTATATATATATATATATCTGCACATACCCCTGTATCATATCTATCCGCAAACCCCTTGATGGGGAACCATTTGATGTACTGTATATCTGTTTCCGGTAACCCATGCGTAAACGCCACATATTCCCTGTATAACCTTATACACCCCTGAATAAGGGCTCTCAGGTAACTCCTTTGAAGCTCCGTTGCAGCAACCCAGCCACCCGACGCTGGCTGCAAGGTGGGAGCGAGAAAATTACTCGCTTCGATGCAGTAGGCACTGACCTGGACCTCCGAAGTTTGTAGAACAGTAGCCCCAAGAGTAGAGTATCAAACGGATAAGAAATGGATATTTAAAGGGACACAGTTTATGTTATGGGTCTTAGGCCATTATTGTTTCTAATTACTTCTGATGTCCAGGGAGGTATCATGTTAGGCCCTCGCCCAGTGAAAGGTCGCCATCACAGTGTTGCAGGTATCCTGTAGGTCTTTGTTCAGACGCCAGCGGCGCATACTTCAAGGACTTAAAGGGGGCTTTGTGTATTTTCTGCATGCTGGATCTTGTGAGTATTGAAAGCATCTCCTGAAGCAACATCCCCTGAGAGCTGACAGCCAGCTGACATTCTGACTTTTTTGTATGCCATGTGAGTAATTAGTTTGTTGTACCCACTGCGATCGAGGGCGCAGGCCTAACCTGGATTGGTGATTAGGTAGGGAAACAGTCTTGGCATATCAGGTGTGTAAGGGGTTCCAGTTTCCAACAGTTGCCCCCCATAGTGAAGACAATAGAACTGAGGGGTATATAAGTGGGCCCTGATTTCTGGAAAACATTGGAAGCACCTTTTTTTTATTGTTTTTCAGATGCTGTTGTAGACTGCGCTAGTATCGCCACACCGTATGCCTACCTATATAGCAGCATCTCGTGTGCCTCTTGCATCAAGGCACCTGATGAGGACAGGGGGATTACTCAACAAAAGCCTAGACCGGTGTATTTTCAATGGGGATACCATTGTCCTAAATACTTTGGGTTCTGCCGCCACCCGGTAACTGTTAGATAATAAGTCTACTGCAACTATATATATATATACATATATATGTACGTAGTGCTTAGTTATACCCTTATTATGGACTGTTGCTGGGTGGGGACGGTACCCAACGAATACTTATCAAGTGATGATCTTACTTGGATAAAGTCAGGTAGAGGTTATCAGCATGGGCAGGGGGCCCCGGGAAGTTCCTGAAATTAAAAAGGAACTTGGGGTCCCCTGCTAGATTCCAGGGCTTGGTTGAGGGCTTGGGCTTTGGGCGCAAGCAGTTGAATCCCATCCTCGGTTGAGGAACCCCCAACCTCCGCAACTACAAGCATTTCCGTAAGTTACCAACGGCAAAGATTCGTCCTACGAACTATGTGACAATACTAATTACTTTATTGGGTGCATTTAGGTGTGGGTTACACCTCGGGGAGGAGGTTGTAGTTTTACTATTTCTCAAATTCGGATCCTCCAGGAATCGGATTTATCGTCATGTGCGGCTGAAAAGCATGAGGATGACCCCAAGAGTCTGCGATAAGGAGTCCGTACTTCTGAGAGCCCCAGTACACTAATCCAAAGTTGGGATTCCGAATTTCTAGCGCCAACCCATATTGAAGATGGACACACGCTTTGGGGAAACACCTTTTGCATCCCTGTGCTGCTCCCATGGGCCTGCTGGTATACATCTCCGCTCGGTAAACCTCAGGAAAATGATAGCAAGCATTTTTTGGACCTGGATTCATGGGTTCAACTAGCACCCCCCTCTATACTACCCCCCCTAGGTTCCCCTTAGTTAAGGTCATTTAGGGATAATTAGGCTTAATTAAGGTTAATTAAGGGGGAACCTAGGGGGGGTAGTGTAGAGGGGGGTACTAGTTGAACCCATGATGGATAGGCCGTAAATCCTAAATCTCAAGCAACAAACGAGGAAATCCCGGCTGTCCTCCATGGATGTCCTATACTCACATGAGCCATGTCTAAACTCCTTAAAGGGTGGTTACATAGGGGACGATATAGGGGACTATTATAGGGACATTAAGGGGGTTCTAGGAGTTTAGATGATGGCTCATATGGAGCAAGGCTTTAGTTTTAAGAAGCCCCCCGTCTTCGTGACCTGCAGAAAGGAGTTCTTGGTCTTGACCAAGCCCTAAACTGGCCCTAAAACCCAAAGCCCAAATACATAAACTCCAGAAGCTGGTTTAGGGTTTAGGGTTTAGGGTTTAGGTTTAGGGTTCTAAGGATTTCGGCCCTAAGAATCTCCCACAAAGCCTTGTAAACTCTGGAGCTCCTAAAGCCCTGATATACACTCTAAGGCTTTAGGGTTAAGGCCTTGGGACATGTCCCACAAAGCCTTGTAAACTCTGGAGCTCCTAAAGCCCACCCTGTAATAGTGGTATAGTAAGCAATAAAAGAGGACCGTAATATACTCCCTATTATCCCTTATAGTCACTATTACTAC